AACAACGAATATAACAACGAATATAACAACGAATATGACAACGAATATAACAACGAATATAACAACGAATATAACAACGAATCTAATAACGAATCTAATAGCGAATATAATAACGAATATAATAACGAATAACAAATATAATAATGAATGTAATAACGAATCTAATAACGAATAACGAATATAATAATGAATATAATAACGAAACTAATAACGAATCTAACAACGAATATAACAACGAATATAACAACGAATCTAACAACGAATACAATAACGAATATAACAACACCGCGGCGCCCGCAAACAGCAGACGACGGTGTCGATGCTTACCTGCGTCGTCGTTGCCGGGGCAACAGACGAACTCGACGCCGCTGAACATGTCGATGCCGCAGGGCAGCAGCATGGCGAAGCTGCTCAGCCGCATGGCGCGGTTGCTGCACGACTCGTCGGCCGTCGCGTTCCAGCGGTCGAACGTCCAGCAGCGCGCCGCGTTGTGCACGTGGTCGAAGAGGCAGTGCTCGGGCACGAGCAGCGGGTCGCTCTGGAACGGTCCGACTGCAAGAGCGAGAAGGACGAGCGCGGGGGCGCGTGTTACACGGAGGTTGATAGTGGGTGTGTGTGTGGGGGGGGGGGGGCGATTGTAGGGCGCGATTTTTACTGTTGCGATGATGTTGCGGCAGTTGATATGCTAATGATGTGGCGATTTGAAAAAAAAACATTCTGATACATTTTGCGGTGATTGAAACACCACTGCGATGCTATTGCGATGCTATTGACGTATTATGAAAGTGTGTATCATACTGTGTGTTGCATCAAGGCTCGTATCGGTTCACATTATTTACGAGGCTAATGAGCTAGTTCAGTGGACCATATGTGTAGATGCTGGGGAACAATTCCAATTATTTACAACAATGATGGAAGTGACGGTAATGGTTTTTAGGCATATTCACGTGCGAAACCACATCTTTATCAGTATATAAACTAACCGGGTGTTTTAACATTGCAACTACGAGAAACTATCGATTGTTCAGTGAACTATGAACGATAATTATTGATGTTTTACTATGCTATGGATGCCACTGATATCGAGTCAAAACATCATTGCAATTAATCGATGGTTCGATGCAGCGTTAGCGCACTCCTGGTGATTTCCCCGTGGATGCATCACCGCAGGCAGCCAGCACGCCGCGATCTGTCTGCTGTGATCGATGCATTACGACCATGATGATTTTTATTTACGCCTAGGGAGCAGAGGTGAGCATGCGGTGGGTAACGTGGGTGGTGTCAGTGTAGCTGGGTGGATGGTGGCAGTGTGAGTGTACGGATGGTGGCAGTGTAGCTGGGTGGATGGTGGCAGTGTAGCTGGGTGGATGGTGGCAGTGTGAGTGTACGGATGGTGGCAGTGTAGCTGGGTGGATGGTGGCAGTGTGAGTGTACGGATGGTGGCAGTGTAGCTGGGTGGATGGTGGCAGTGTGAGTGTACGGATGGTGGCAGTGTTGGTGGGTGGTGGCAAGGGGAGTTGGCGGGTGGTGGAAGTGTGAGTGGGTGGGTAGTGGCAGTGTCGGTGGGTGGGTGGTTTGAGTGTTACATGGTGGTGGTAGTGTTTGGCAATGTCAGTGGGGGGTGGGTGGCAGTGCATGTCAGTGGGTGTGCGATGGCAGTGTCACATGGTGGTAATGTGAGTGGGTGGGGTTGGGGCAATGTGAGTGGGTGGGGAGAGGGGCAATGACAGTGAGTGGGGTGGGTGGCAGTGTGAATGGGTGGGTGGTGGCAGTGTGGGAAAATGAATGGTGGACATGGCTGAGAACTGATGGATGGCATGGGCAGCATCACAGCAGACAGCGCGATGTTATAGTTGGGCAGCTGTAGTAGACTCACCCAGGCACCGGTACGGCTTGACCACATGATGCCACTTGCACAGCTTGTGCTCGCCCTTGCACCAGTTGCTGATCTTGACAGAGTCGGCCGCCTCTACGACGTTCGTGATGTCAATGTTTGGGTAAACCTGCAGAAAATGCAAACACAACAATTATTTATACGTAATGACAACGGCTAAAATAGCGAGCGACTTCTCAAAAATTATGTACGTGATGTTTTTTTTTGCTTGATGTAGTATTATGTTGTGCGATTGCCGTAAAGCATAGGCATTTCCTAAACGAGTTTAAGTTATTACATTGTACATCGTATTCTCCATATCGTCGTACGCTAAATACAGCTAAATAAGCTAAATTCAGCAAGACAGGCGATAGATGGCGCCACGCTGTTAGCGCAGACGCGCCTAATTTCACGGCCGCATACTACCAACGCTTGATACGATAACATATCGATGATATAGACGACCGTTCGATACGTACTAAATTCTTGTGTGACGGTCGGTATTCACGTATTGCTTGTACAAACTCTACATACATAAATTACAGTAAAAATATTATTTACTTAACCAAAATTCAAAAATACTTGCAGCAAGTAGCTCAATGCGCCGTCATCTGAAAACGCTAGGTTGGAAACTTGCTCCTATTATTAAACCTAACGCTAAAACCTTCTTAAACCTAATTATCTAAACCTAAACCTTACCAAAACTTCAATATTATTGTTATCAGCAGCACCAATATGTCACTAAAATTACACTATAAAGCACGTCACAACGCATGTGAATGCTCAAGTAAGCGCATAATCGCACGTAGACACGCGCGCGCGCACACACGCGATGTAAATATTTCACAGTCACGCTGGGAATTCAAAACGCATTTCATTGAAAATTATAGATTCTGCTCCTGGACGCAATTACAAAAGAGGCACAGAGAAACAAGCGTGCGTTCCGAAAACGCATGTAATAATAATGAGTAATTATACTGCATGTATGAGCGCTATGTATCATCGGCTCCCTCCCAGCACAAGTGCTTAATAAACACCAACAGTTATATTCGCCGCGAGAGAAAAACAACGAGAAGAAGTCGACTTGACCGGCAACATAATGGTTACCGAACTCGTAATGCCAGCAGTGGCTCGCAACAGCTCCCGAGCGTTAACTCTTTATTCCCCCCAGTGGATCTTTGCATAAAAAAATTATCCATCAACGAACTTACATTGCGTTCCGACGGACTAGTAACGACTTATAAATCGTAATAACTGACATGTCGCGTAACGTTAGAACAACACTTACGAAGACGGCGACGGCGCTGCGGTAGCGGACGCTCGGAACTACGACACAAAGAACAACGACACAAAGAACAACGACACAAAGAACAACGCGGAGCTCAGCTAGGATTAAATTGTCGCGGGGAGGGAGGTTGGATTTGCGAACCTGGCCGCCGCCGTACTTGCGACAAAAGCGCGGAATTCGCCAGCGCAGTGTAGCGAGACTATCTTCATTTCTCCAGGCTGGGATTTCCATTTAGTAATTGCACCGTGCATTGAAACTGTTCACGGAACCTTGCTCTCTTCTCACTCACTAATAAAGGGATTGCAACAGCCCAAGGGAGCCGACACGTGTCATATATATATATATATA